CTTCAGGTCTCCAGGTCTCTGTTGATAAAGATGAGCACTCAGTCCCACAAATACTGGCCCTCCAAAAGAAAGAAGAGGGGTGTAAGACCCTTTTCCCACACTTTCTGCTGATGTCCCAAGGAGCCGGGCCTCTGTTTATTTTTACAGCTGTGAGAGGGTGGATGAACCAGAGAGATGTGAGGATGTGGGGTGAGACAGAGGATATGGGGGAGGCAGGTAAAAAACCTGCAGTGGGGCAGAGAAAAGAGGGGTGTAGGCAGTGAATAACTGGGGCCATGGAATAGAACGGAGGGTAGAACAGAGAAGTGTGTAGAGGTTTTTAAATTCCTGGAGGTAAAGGCAGCCGTAACAGAGAGAGTCGGCATCAGAGAGACAGAAAGAGAAGCAGAGATAGAGAAGGACAGAGAGACAAAGAGAAAACGGAAAGAGGAAGTGAGGGAGAAGAAGACAAGGTGGGGCTCTGGGGCCTCTCTAATTGGCGTCTCCAGCACCCACTTCTCAGCCCTGCACACCAGTGTCCTACAGGGTGTGCGGTGCTGTCCCCACCATGGACAGAGCTGAGACAGACACTAGGAGCGGTGTCCAACATCCAGCCAGTCTTTCTCCCCTCATCCAGCCACCTCCCAAGTTCACTGCGGAGGAGGTGAAGGCAGGCACCAGAGGCTGTAACTCGGCCCAGAGACAGGGCCTGGCGGTGCCTCACCTACCAGGGTTACTGCCCCCCACCATGGCTGACCTTGCTGGCCAGGCTGTTGCTCCCCAGACTCTAGCTAACACCCCCTTCAACCTGTGGCCATCATCTTCCTGCTGCCCAACCCAGACCCTTGTCCTCCTCCTCCTCTGGCCCATCCCTGAGCCCCCCTCAAGTCTACTCATCCAGAACCCACCTTTCTGCTTCCCCTGGGGTTTTGAGGTGATGGAGGGGAGCAGAGCAGCCTAGGTGGGGGCCGAGGGCTTGCTGGATTATTGAGGATCTGCGGGGACTGCAGCTGACATGGACGAGGAGGAGGAAGAGGAGGGGGGTCTTGGTGATGGACGATGCTGGTTCTTTGGTGGGGCGAAGGCAGGGAAGGGGGATGGAGGAGGGCTGGGGGAGGGGTGGTGAGGAAGCGGGTTGGGGGGGAGCAGGACCAGTCTCACATTTGGCATTCAGGGCAGCTGACAATAAAAATGCTTTATTGCCAAGAAACTGGATCGATCGGGGCTGGAGGGGGCCGGCAGGGGGGACGCGGAGGGCTCAGCGCAGAGGCCGGCTGCCCGGCCTCTGCAGCGACCAGGGCCCGAGCCGCCCTCCCCCCTGCGCCCCCCTCCCCGCCTCCTGCCCTTTCTCTCTCCTGCAGCCACCGCTTAGTTCTTATTATATTTTTTCTTATATATTTTTTCCCCCAGCTTCTCCTGCTCCTGTTTTTTTTTTTTTTTTTTCCTTTTAATTTTTTTTTTTAAACTCGCTTCACTCCCAATGCCGCAGGCCAGGTGGGGGTGGGGTAGGGGCATCTACCCAGGCCAGGCTCTACCCATCGGGCTTCCAGTGCTGCTAGTTCTGGGGTAAACCCCACTTTGCCTCTGTACCCCTCAATTCAGTCAGGTCTCCCCACCCAGATCCTGGCCCGCATGTGCCTGTCTTCCCCTGCCACCCTTCCTGAGGGCCCAGAGGGCAACTGATGCCCTGGTGGGCCTAGGACCCTGGTCAGACCTTCCTCCGCTCCCCCTTACCTGGCCCCCTGCTCACTTCCTGAGCCATTTGGCTGATGGTCAGAACTGTCCATCAAGGGGGCTCGGAGCCTCTGGGGACCCAGATAGGAGAAGGGAGGGGGAGAGGTCGGGGGTCAGGCCGAGTCCCCTCAGCTCATCTCTTTCCCCTCCCCCTTCCTAACAAAGGGAACAGCAGCCTGATGCTGGGGGGGCTGGTACTCTGGGAAGGAGGAGAAGGGCTGTCGGATGGCCATGGGCAGGAGGCGGGGTGGGGCCGCCTGCCCCTCCTCTGCCGCCCCCTTGGGTCAAGGCTAAGGTGATTCCTCAACCTCTGAGGCTGGGCTGGAAGGGGAGGAGGATCTGAGCAGACAAAGAGCTGAAGCCCGGGGGAGTTGGAGGCTGGGGGGGATGCACCTGGGACCCGGTCAGTCTTGACTGAGGGAGGGGCATCAGGCACCCTCCTGGCCCTGGTCTCACCTCCCCAAGGCCCTGTCTCCCATCTGTACCAATCTCTATGAATCTCAGAGCCATACAGAACCTGTGAGTTGGGACAAGGTTGCATGGGAATAGAGGGGAAACTGAGGCCCAGAGGGGCCTGAGCCACTGGTAGGACCCAGGATGAAGGCGCAGCTCCGAGTGCTCCGTGCTGATACAGAGCCTTTCTCTTCCCACTCTTCTTCCTACAAGAAGACATCTTCTTCCCCTAACCTCCCCCTCCCAGGTCAGGGTGACTTAGAGAGAAGGGGCAGGTGGTAGAAGGGCCTGGGGGAGACTCAGACTCGTCTCAGACCAGTGGGAAGGGCGATGGTCCAGAAGAAAGAAATCTTAGAGGTGACCTGCCTCTGGCCCAGCTCTGGCAAGAAACTCAGGCAGGAGGAGAAGAAGCCGGAAGACAGGGCACGCTCTGGAACAAGCAATGGACAGGGAAAAAGGCCTTCAGAGAGGTTTCTCTCTGGCTCATTGTCACAGAGCACAGAAAGATCCATAGTCCTGTCCACCCCAAAGCCCACAGGACATTGCTCTGGCTGCCTGTGGAGGGCAGGGTAAGGCTGTGAGTCCCCTTGCCCACGGGGCCCAGAGAACTGCCAGAGAGACAGAAAGAAATAGGCAAACCTTCCACGCTCAAATTCCCCTACCAAGGCTGAAGAGGCTCCCAGGGACAGGGCCGTGGCCAAAGGGAAGACGGGGAGACAGGGTAGGCCTCTTTTCGGGGGGTGGGCCAGGCTCCAACCAGCCCCACAGCCTGTGCAGGAGGCCCCAGATGGGCAGAGGACTATAGGGGTCCTGGCTGCCCTCCCCCAAACCTCCCCTCCCTTCTCTCCCTCTCTTTCTCGGCTGGCTATCGACCGGGGCTGTGACATGGTAGATCAATACGGCAGGGATATAAAGCCGGCTGGCTGGCTGCCTGCCTCTGCTTCTCTTTCTCTCTCTCTCTCTTTCTCCCTTGCTCTCCTTGCTTCCCTTTCCCGGAGCCGCACCCAGGCCCCCTGCCCCTATGTACCCCTTAACCCAGCTTCCAAGGGGCCAGGGCCCCCACCACCACTCCCCTACATCGGGAGAGATTAGGGAGGCTGAGAGCTTGGACAGCCAGGAGAGGGGGTGAGTATGGGAGTGGGCAGGGAAGCAGATGGGGATGGGGGTCACACTTGCAGGTAGGGACCCTGGGATGAATTGAAAGATAGTCCCGCTTGGGAGAAAGCAGGTATCCTCTCAGGTGGGAGCAGCTCAAGGAGAGGGGGCCCTTGGAAGGCATGAGAGGGACAGAGCTCTGGGAGGTAGGAAGGGGCCCTGGGAGGGAAAGGAGGACATTCCTGAGCCCATGAGGCAAGTGAAGACTGGGGGGAGTTGGAATAAGCTACAGTGAAAGGATGCCCAAAAGAGTGGACAGCCCAGCAAGCCTCCCAGCAGAGCCATGGACTGCCCCATCCTGTGGGTGGAAGCTACCTTGGCCCTATCCCACAGCCTGGCCTGCATGCCTGTGGGACTAGGGCACTCGTGAGGCGGAAAGACAGAAGATCCCCAAGGGAGGGCCGTGGTGTCTGAGTGGCAGGTCCTTAAGCTCAGTTGGGGGACTCAGGGACTGCACCCCAAAATGTCCTGGCTTTTGAGTCACATCTGTGTGTGACCATGGTCTGTGTCCCAGCAGCGCCCAGGGGCAGTATACGTGGGTATTCCCTATCCCTAAGTGTCCCTACATATCTGTCTTTCTGTCCGTTGGGGAGTGTGGCGGCATCCTAGGAGCGTCCCAGGGGATATTCTGTCTCCCCAGGAAACACAGAGGCTGCGTGTTCCTGTGTGCCCTGAGACATCCACGCGTGGTGGAATGTATGTGTGCCCGCCGGCGCATGTCTGAACATGGGTGCTTCGGTGAGTGAGTGTCCCTGTGCCCGTGCCAGTGGGTGGCCGCGTGTGTGCTTCGGGCCCTGCGTGGCTGTTTCTCTGTGTTCTCCAGAGGCGCTTTCTCTTTCTAAGGGTTGGAGATTCCATGTGGTTTCTCTGTGTCTACGTGCTCTAGGTGACCCTGTGTTTTGATGGTCGAGAGTACATTTCCACAACTGGGATGGAGGCGCTGGGTGTGTCCCTGCGTGTAGCATGGTGATGCGGTGCACACGATGGTGTGTGAGGGCGGAAGGGGAGGGCTCCATGCCTGAGCCTCTGAGCTGGGGAGGGGGTGAGGCAGCACAAGCCGCCACCGAGACACTGGCCAGCCCATTTTACCGCTACATCGGCTCCAAATACAAGAGTAAGGGCCTGCCTGCCTCCTCTCCCTTCCCTGCCAGAGGCCCCAGACCCCTACCAGGATGGGCCCAGGCCCCCCTTCCTTCTTTCACCTTAGGCAGGTAGTACCTCTCTCTGCTCCTCAACACCCCCACCCCGCTTTGGTGGACGCCACCTCAACTCCACCAAGCGACCTCCGTCCCTCCCAACCCCCCCAGCGCCACCCACTCCCCCCACCTCCCCCAACCACAAGTCCAGTCCAACCCAGACAAAAGCAATTACTCCTGAGGTAGGATGTGAGTGTGGGTGTTAGAAACAGAAAAAGAGGGGGGAGGGCGGGGGAGCAAGAGAAACACACACACAGGCAGGGATGGACAGCCAGAGACCCAGAGAGACAAGCATCCAGAAGAGACGGACAGAGTGAGAGACAGAGGGACACACAGAGCCATCCGCAGGGAGACGCAGCGACAGAAGATGAAAGAAACCAGAGGGGACCCAGACACAGAAACAGGAGGCAAAGGCAAAAGGAAAGAGCAGAGGAAGGGGCACACGGAGGGAGCATGCCAGAGAGACGCACAGAAAAAGGGATCGCATGGCTGCAGAGGGACAGAGAGAGAATGCACCGCGACCCAGGAAAACCAGTGACGAGCCACACCAAGAGAGGACACAGATAAAGACAGAATGGGAGCCGAGAGAGGGAGAACTAGAAAACAGGCATTCAGGACAGCACGCGAGGCACAGGGAGCAGAAGACTGAGTGGGCAAATGAGGCAAGGCAAGAGGCGGAGGAGAGACAGAGATGAAAGACAGACAGGCAGACAGAGGTGAAAGGAAGTTGGCGAGATGGCTAAGCCAGGGAGGAGCAGAAGGGAAGCCAGGTCCAAAGGGAGGCATCTCTCTTTCTCTCCGTCCTGTACACACTCAGGTTTCTCCACACCCAAGCCCTTCTCACTGTCCTCTGGGCCCTGGCAGGAATAGGAGAGGATGGACAGACGGACGGTCTCGGGCAGCAGCAGGCCTGGGCTCGAGCACAACGGCGAGTGAGAGCGATATTCTCTGTCGGCCACACGCCTGTCACTTTCACCTTGCACATCGTGGATGCACACACTGGGACCCCGGAAAAGCTTCTCACAGTCTGCCAAGCACAGTGGTCCAGGTGAGGGCTCAGGAAGCCAGGCATAAGGCATTTCCTGCTGCCCCCCGGGGTGCCCGCCTTTCCTGGGGGCCCTCAGCTTGGTTCTTCTTTCTTTCTCAAGTCCCTCCCTGCCGTGCCCCATCCTGCCCTGGGCAGGGACCCTTCCACTGTTCTCAGGTGCTCACACTTCAGGCACGCACCCATCGCCTCCCATCTCTGCATGCCTAGCTGTGCCTCACTCCAATGTTTCCACTCATCTCCACTCCTCTTTGTCCGCTCTTGGATACTCCGTGTCCTGCATTTCTCCTTCACAGGGTGCTCTCTGAGCCTCCCTGAGCCTCTCCCTCACTCTGCTCCCCTCTGGCATCTTCCTGGACCGCCTACCTCAAATGACCCACCTGGCCCTCTTATCCACCTCGTGCCCCACCCAAGAGGACTGCAAGAAGATGGCAGCGCAAGAGGAGCCAGAAGCTGTCCCGGAGTGGCGGGGGCCGAGGGGAGACGTCCACCCTGTGCCTTGCCCCCTCCTTCCTGTGTTTGCCTCCGCCCATCTCCACCAGGCCCGCTGTCTCCACGTGGCTGGCTCTGGAGATAGAAGCCAAGACACAACCCACACCTTCCCCAGACCCAAGGGGCAGAGATGCAGGCTCAGAAGGAAAGGAGGTGGCCAGGGAAGAATGGAGAAGCTAAACTACAGATGAAAACCAAGGGAAGGAACAAGGAAGAGGATGCAGTAGAACTCCAGAGCGAAGAAGAGGAAAGGAACGGAGGCCAGGAACAGAGACGTGCTGGGCAGCACTGATGGGACAGGCCAGTGGAGGCGGGGCGCTCCGGATTTCTAGCAAACCTTACAAAACACTTGTAGGGTTGAACTCAGATCTTTCCTGTGCTTGCCAGCCTTCACCACAGAGCTCAGAGGAGTGTTTCCCTCTAGCAGAAACTGGAGCCAAATACCTGCCCTCAGACTTCGAGGCCTATGCCAGGATGCAGGACACCTGGCCTTCATTTGCCGTGGACAACAAGGGGTCCCAGGGATCCACTGTTCCCAAATCTGCTAAGAAATCTAACCCATCTTTACCTGTTCCACATCTGGCCAACAAACTCTCAGCTGCAGCTGTCCCCACCCACTTCATCCAGTGACAGCAAACCCAGCCCAAGGGATCCCGTGATGTCTTGCCACCTCCCAGCATCCCACAGTAGTGAACAGCCCACTCGTATCCGGATCCGTCCAGAGCACAACACGGCTGCCCTCAGCCTGTGCCTGCACCCTGGCTCACAAACCACCACTTAGGGAGCACCTTGCGGGTTCCACTCTGAAGCCATCAGTCGCTCACATCAAGAGAACTGTTGCCCCACTAGAGCCCCGTGCCAACCATCCCGAGCCACATGTGCAACAGCACACTCCAGACCTACAGCCAAAGTCCCCCCGTGTGGTTTAGGAGGAGGCTGACTGAGCCCAGGGGTCTGCACAAATGCCCGAGCTACCTGCTTACTTCTGAATCTCATCAGCACCCCCGCCCAGCCCCTGCAGGCTCCCACAGGGAGACCACCCCCACCCTGTGGCTCAAGGCCCACCGCTTGCAGTCCTCAGTTGTCTCCTGTCCCCTCACCGGACACAGCCATGACAACCTTCCACCCATAGCTAAGCCCCTGCTGCCAAGGCCTGAGACTCCCTCGGGGAGCTCGGGTGCCCTGTGGCACACCCCTGGCTAGTTTGTCTGAATCATCTTTGTGACCCTGGGACCCATTTCACATGTCCTTTCATGGAAATATGGGAGGACTGAGGGAGGGAGAATCGAGGTGATAACAGCCCTGGTACTCAGAGGGCACTAGGCCCAGGTGACTAAGGCCAGGGGGCCCCATTCAGCACAGTTTCTAACAGTGAGTAAGAACCAGCGGGCCGGCCACCGCTTCCTACCTGAAATTTATGCTTTGTCCTCTTCTAGAACCTTCCCTCACTGCCTTCCTCCATTCCCTAACCCAGGTCAATCTATTCCTCCATTCCCTAATGCAGCACCTGCAGTTCAGGTTGACAGTGTTTGAGCCTGACTTTTCAGGGACCCTGGGAGGCCCTTGTAGACCCACGAGGGTCCTCTTCTTTGCCCCTCCAAGGATAAGTCAAGGCCTAGTGCAGAACAAATCCCAGGAAATGTTGGCTGCAGGAATAAATGGAGTTTACATGTCTGCAGGAATAAATATGAGTTTACATGTCTGTTTCCTCACTCATTAATTCATTCAACAAACACTTCACATTTATACTGTGCCGGGAACTGATAGAGATGCGTTAGGCAGATGGATTTGTAAGGTTTCTCTATACTGTGAGGCTTACGGAGTACACACTAAACACATAAGATGTGGTCAGAAATGGTGATAGTGCTCAGCAGGGAAGGGAGGTACAATCCAGCCCAGGGGTTGGGGAAGACTGTTCCAGGCAGGGGAACCTTAGATGGCTGAAGGAGGTGGAGGGGAGGCAAGAGTGGAGAGGAAGCCCTGGCATGGCTGGGAGGAGAGCCAGGGAAAGGGCCGGAGCAAGCCAAGGAGAGAGCACCATCTCAGCAAGACAGCAGAGTGGTTCCCTCCCTCGTCCTGGGACTCTGGCTGGCACACACAGCACTGAGGAGGCCTCCAGCGACGTTTGGGGGAATTACTCGCCTTCCAAGAGTGGCTATAAAGGTAAAGCTAGCGGGGGATGGGGCCATGTCTGTTGTACAACAGAATTATACACCCGAAAGCGTGTGGTTTTCTTCAAAGAGGTCTCTCTGGGGGCTGGATTTTTCCTTGAACCAGTCATATTTTGGCAGCAGCCTTCAAGGCTGGTTTACAAACTCCATCAGCGAAACACATCTCCACTGTATCTGTCTCTAGTCTTACTGCAAAATCCACAAGCAGCCCTGGTATTATCCAACCCATTTATTGCTAGATTCAGCAGAGTTGGTGCTAAATCGAACTTTGGGTGTTCTCCCAAAACAGATTCACCCCCAAAGCACAAAGATTTGCCACACTGTGGAGATTCCAAAAACTATGGCGGGTTTTGGTAAAGTGGAAGAATGACAGCTTTAAGTTCGGGAAGACTTGAATTCAAATTCTGACCCTATCATCAATTCGACACATGACTTTAAACAAGTTGCCTTGAAATAAATGAATAATAAATAAACAAGTTGCCTTTTCTCCCTGGTCCTCAGTTTTCTTCCCTCTGAACAGGTGATTAACACCCACTTCACAGGGGTACAGTGGGTATTAAAGGTGAAGTGTTTAGAATAGGCAGATGGGGGTCCCTGATAAGTATCAGTTTCCTCACGAGGACGCAGCAGCTCTCTGGGGTTCACATTAGCAGGTGTGTCATGAATAGGTCGTACAACCTTGCTTACTTAATGAACGTCTATTTGAAGACGGAGAACTAAAATTAGAGACCTGACTGCAGCCCCTACCAATTTTAAAACATAACCAAAGCCCTCTGTTACTTTAGCCTAATTTTCTGGCCCTCCTCCACATCAGACTCTAACTCCTGGGTCTGCAACTCCAAAGCCCTTAGACCTCTCTTCAACCTCAAGGGCATGAGAGGGCACGAGGGTGCCTGGGAAAGCTCCAAGTCTGCTCCCTGAAGAAGGCACCCTGCGGGAAACGCATGTCCCGGAACCAGGACATCGTGTTCTTTGCCTGCTAGAGCAGGGCCTATGAGTGACGGCCGGGGTCAGAGACTTCTGTGGTAGCACAGGAGGCAGGCTATGTGCTGTCCTGGGAGCCGGGCTCTACGGCTGCAGAACAGGACATCTGTGGGCCAAAAGTAGCTTCGAAAGTGTGGTTTGGAAGCAAGCAGATTTCTGTGAGTTGCCAAAAATTTTTAAATTGGGAGATTTCACATAAAAGTCTGGATATCTGGCTTCTCTGGGAAAACTGAAAATCTAGCTTCTGTGTCTGAGCAGTCAGCGCCCACTCTGCTCTGCACTCCCTGCATTTTCCAGTCCACCACGGTCCTTACCGTACCAGGCAGCAAGTCCTGGGCAGTAGCTTTCATTTACTTTTTCTTTTTTTAGTACCCAGGGCTTCCCACTTTTTAGGCAAGTGCTCTACCACTGAGCTGTATATTTTTGATTTTGAGACAAGGTCTCACTAACTTGTCCTGGTTGGCCTTGAACTTGTGATCTTCCTGCCTCAGTTTCCAGAGTGCTGGGAACTACATGCATACACCACTGTGCCTGGTCCATCCACTTCTTAAGTGAGTTGGTGATACAGCAAAGGCTTCCTGGTCAGGAGGCCTCTGAGGACAGCCAGCACCTGCCTGGGCTTCTGAGGTCTGCGTGGCTTAAGCCACTTTGGCTGGAGGAGTAGCCACGTGGGGTGCTCCACCCCTCCCCTGGTCCTCACTGGTGGAGCTGCACAGAGCTGAATGGAGCAAAGACCAAGGGAAACCGCCCGGGGCCCTGCTTCCCTGACTTGAGTGGCCGGAGAACTCCAGCTTTAGTCTGCCAGGTTTGCTGGGCTCCAACGAGGGGTTTCACAAATCCTTATCGATTTGTATCTCAAGCCCCACAGAGGCTACATGTTTTAGACAGTAACTTCTTTCATCTTCACAAAACCTCTGCGTGGTAGATGCTATGAATTCTTCTTCAGAGAAACTGAGTCATGCCAGCTCAGAGCCACCTGTCTACCCTTCCTCTCCCCGCTTCTCTCCTCAGCACAGTGGTTAAGGTGAGGCCTGTAATTATTCCCATTTTTAGATGCGTACATGGAGATACCAACTTTCCCAACTCCCTTACAGTTAGGACCTGATCCCAAAGTTGTGATCAGAACCACCAAGTTCCCGTTTCCCCTTTACCAAGTTCGAACACTCAACTGAAGAAACACTCACAGTCACCAACACCCAGAACCATGCTTTTGCCAGAAAGCCACAGAATGCGTGAGAGAAGAAAATACAGCCTGTCAGACTCTATCTGTGGAGGGATAAGAGCAGCATGGGGAGCAGAGACTCTCACGGGGAGGTTGGGGAGAAGGATGGAAGAGCAGTGACATCGTGAGCACACAGGATCCCTCAACATAGCAACAGGCAAAACTTCGAGGTGCGGCCTTACCTCGTGTGCAGACCCAGCGAAGCTAATACATTCAGGCCACCAACCCGGTCCAGCTGACAACCTGGAGAGGGAGGAAGAGAGAGAATGGAATCAGCATCCCGAGGAACTGGTCTGAGGCTCGTGTGGTATGGTGCACCCTCTTCCTCTCTCACCATCAGGAGTTGCAAGTTGGTGAACTGTGGAGGCAGGTGCCTGGGACTCAGGTCCTGCTGGCCACTTGGTGCCTTCTGTGATCATTTCTGGCCTCTGAGCCTCAGGGCCCCCTTTCTCACAGTGGGCATACTGGTGCCTGCACTTGTCGAATATCTGTTTTCCCCATCACACAGGAAGCTCCTTAAAGGGCAGGAACTGGGTCTTGCAGCCTTAGCATTTGGCAGAGGGCCTGGCAAATTTGAGATGCTCTGTAAGTACATAATAGATGATTCAATAAATAGATGGGAGGGTGAGTTAGTTAACGAGCAAACTGCATACCTCAAAGGACTACTGGGAACTTTGAAAGAGTTACTTATTAGGAGGTGCCTATGTGCCTGGGGAGATGGAAATAAAAGTCATGATGATAATATTTATGACTTGTCCATTTGCCTGTTTATTATTCATTTTGTTAGTTAAGAAATAGTGATGTTTTTCTAAACTGGCTCTTTTTTTTTTTTTAATCGGGACAGGGGATCAAACTCACGACCGCCTGTTTGCAAGGCAGGTGCTTATGCCACTGAGCTAAATCCCCAGCCCCTAAATTGGCTCTTAACCAAGTGTAGGATAGAGACTGGAGGCTCACAAACAAGTTAGGGAGACAGGAAAAGGTCAGAGCCAACACAGTGCAGTAGACAGAGCGTGCCAAAGAATCCTAGAGGTCGGGGATGATTTAGGGAAGAAGAAACACCCAGGCCAAACCTGGAAGACATAAACTTCAGTCAGATAAGGACCCAGGAGGATTGAAAGGGTGAGGCCTTCGCCTGCCTAGGTTCAGTGACGGAGTGGGGGAAAGATGAGTCTTCAGTGATTATAAAGGCTGTACCCTGCCAGGTCTCAAGGCCTGGACCAAGCCTCTGGGGCTTCATCAGAGACTGGGAGGGACATGGTGCAGTTTGTCTTTGGAAAGGTCCTTCTGCACGTTGTGTAGAGACAGAGGCTGGAGGGACAAATAAGAGGTGAGAGACCCATCTCAAAAAGTATTCACCGTGCCTCTCCGCAGCCCTAACGGAAGGAAGAGGAAGAGTGAGGGTTGGTCTGACCTTACTTTAGAGATGTGGCCGCCGAGGCTGCAGGGGTGTGACTCACTTAGGATCACATACGGCCCCAGAAAGAGCAGAGCTGCTTAGAGAGCTCCATTCTACAAGCCTCCCACTGCAAACTGCTTCTCGGACAGGCAGTTTTCTTGGAAAAACTGCTCGAATCCGCACAAGGGCCACCCTTGCCTCTGCTTGCAGTGGGCATTCAGAGAAGGAGCCATGGACTGTGGGAGACTTCCTAAGAGAGACAGAAGTACAGGGAGGCCTTCCTACCGGGCAGGTACCAACGAGTGGACAGGGAGCGGTAGACAGGGAGCCGTAGCTCAGAGAGGCAGAGCCCTGTGGACAAGGTCACAGAGCCAGCAAGCCCAGCCCCACTGACATCTGTGCGCCCCTGTGGTTGTGCTCCTCAGAGCAGAAGGGAGGCTGGGTTCAGCCGTCAGTGTTTGGTAGGCCGGTTTTCCACCTAATGGCAGACTTACTAGTACAGATGGGAAGACTGAGGCCCAGGATCAGCCAAAGGCACAGGGATCTAGGGGAGGCATCAGAGTTCAGAAGGAGAAAAGAGGAAAAAGGATGTACAGAGACAGAGAGAAAAGAGGTGAGGAGACAGAGACAGAAAGAAGCATTAATAGGCAGAGAAGACAGAAAAAACCCCAAACAGGATAAGAAAGGGGGGTGAGAGGAGCCAAGAGTCCCCCAAGCCTCCCACTCCTCTGTCTCTCCCTGGACCTCCATCTTCAGGGACAGGAGGGGATCAGGACCCTGGTCTCTGGGGCAAAGGAGGGGCTAGGGTTGCTCCCCCTCAGGGGCTGCTCCCCCACCCCGACCCCACCCCACCCCAGGCCCAGAGCTAATCAGCGGCTGTCATCTCCACGGTGAGGTCTTGGTTAAGGAGATTTAGGGCCGGGATC